AAAAAAAATCTTACCACTGTACTCAAACACTCAAGTTTGTCAACCAATCAGATTATGAATTTTGTAATCTGATTGGTTGACAAACTTGAGTGTTTGTAGTACAGTGGTAAGATATTTCAGTGATGTAAAATAAAAAAGGGAGTGGTTATTAATTAMAATATTTTTGGGCTGTAAAACAAATGTAAAAAAATATAAATTTATACCGGCATGCAAAAGGTCATGTGTTCAATTCCTATCAGGCACACTGATTTTTACAGAGTTTCCCTTTCAGCTATAGTGACAAATGACAAATTATTCTATAAAAAAAATTATATATTTGGTATCTGGTGACTCTTATTTTACTGATTTTAGCTTAGGTGTTTAGTAATGTTTCTCAATAGAGTGCTCACACTAAATCCGTGAAACAAATACTGATTTTTAGCACTAAATAGCGATAATTAAACAATAGGAAACAAAGGATTCTGTATGAAATAGTACTAATTAGTACTATTTAATGTTCATGGTTTTAGTGCGTGCACTCTATCAGACCACGTCATTTTCTTAAGAATAAGATAATTAATTTTTTAATTTTTATTATTTTGTTTGAGTTGTATCCATATCCATGTGAGTTCTCATGYGCAATAATTATTAATACATGGATGGCAGAGATGGGGGGGGGGGGGGGGGGGGGGGGGGGGGGGGGGGGGGGCTTTAGTCCTCCTCTCTTTCTGAGAATTACTTTTCATTACAATCAAAACTCTATAACACTAGTAACCTGGTTTGAATTTCTTTTTATTATTTCAATTTTCTACTTCACAACTTCTCAACCAAGGTGCCGAGTACCAATGGCATACGTAAGAAATATGTCAGTAAATAAAGAACTTGAAGACTGTTGAAATAATCCTTTTAAAGTTTTTATGAGATTAACAGTACTAGACCTTTTATGTTGGGTCAATTTTAATCTCATAATACAGTACAAGAAGAAACCAAAGCCATTTATTCCCTTTTATGTACATGTCTGTAGCTGCACTTTTTAATGGTGATGAAGTTGTTGGAATTTGAAGAAGTTCATAATTAATGATATGAAAACTTGGAATTTTTTACAAATTTTCAATTATAAATTTAAGATAGTAAATAATTTTGAATTACCAAGTAGGTGGAATAGACCCTATTCTAGTTCCAAATTACCTCTGTGTTCCTTGATTACAGACTCATTTGCACAGGGYTAGCCTCGAATCAGTGTCTAATTACTCGCAAATACCAACGGTAAAGTAAAGAATGCACAAGTTCAACAATACGAACACTTTGAAACTTGACGGACCTTGACTTGAAAATGTGAATATTCATCACAAAATCGAGGCTTAGCCTGTGTAAATGAGTCTGTAATCAAGAAACACAGCGGTAATTTGGAACTCGAAAAGGGTCTATTGATGTTCTGAAGTTACAAATGACTGTTGAAAGTTTGAGAGCAATATGATGTTAAATTTTCATAGCTTCCTARCATTGCTGTGTTGTTGAAAAAAATGATGACATACGTTAATATTATTTTTTGAATTGAACTGTGATATCCAGACATTTTGATGACCTGGCATTGTCAATGATTCAACATAACACACATCCAGCTGAGCAGTGAATTTTGTTTCAGCCAATCAGAGTGTGTTTAGCTGTTTTGCCACCAGTCCTCATTCCCATGCTTCTTTATATGTCATGTCATGCTATATTTTTCTGTTTTCTTTTGACTGACTAAAATATAAATTTTAAGCTTACAAGAAGCAGAAATATGGAAAGGAGGAATAAAATAAATTCACGTAACTGCCAACGTTTGCTTCTTCAAGCTCCAAAAATGCTTAGGGCAGGTCAATTTGTCCACTCATATATTGCGCATCGCATTCACTGCTCRGCTGGATACAAACTCAAAGTACAATGGCTGCTCCATGCCAGGCACATCAAACTGATCAACTTGTGACCAGTCAGGAGCCAAATGCCTGAGACGCCAGACAAGTACCAATTGTGGCAGGAAATATTATTGTCTATTGACCAGCCATTATTTAAGCCACGTAACTTCATTTATGATTTTTAAAAGGTTCTTTGTATCCATCTTGTAAAAATGTGTAAAAATGATAACAATCTTGACAACAGCTACCTCACTCAGTCCTGTCCATTTTGAAATTTGAAAATGATATTCCTAGTAATACTAACTATAGACCATTATAGACTTTCTGGAAGGATGACTGCTTGAGGATCCTCTTGATATCTGTTAAGATAGAATATATTGTATAACAGTATTAGACATGGGCAGGCAATGCATTCTCAAATAAAAAAATGAATGGATGGATGAACGAACCAATGAATAAATGAATGAATAAATAGTAAGTTTTGGTAGAGGATCCTTTCATAAAAAATGAGAATGCAAAAACAAAAGCCAGTGAACCAAGAAGACTCGGCAAAACCAAAAGCCATGTGCTCTTATTATAGATCAGTAAACAAAGCTTAAAATAATGCTGGCCAATCATTGTCGGTCATGCTGACCAGAACCAGTAGCCTTAGCTCGGCCATACTCAGTTTCTGGCTTAATGTTACTGGCCAAAATGACCAGGAAGGTAAAGATTTGACCAGGAAGGTAAAGATTTGACCAGAAAACTTCCAATTTTGGCTGACATTGTCCGATGACCAGCTGTTATTTTAAGCCCCGGTAAACAGAAAGGATGAATTCCTTACCATCCTTTTCCGCGGCTGTTAGTACTCCTCTTGGAAATTCTACATCAAATGTTATATGTAAGTCTCCTTTTTCATGATTATTTTCATAGCTAGGCATTCCTTCTCCTTTCTTCTTTATTCTTGCACCAGGCCATGTGAACTTTTCTCTTGTGATGTGAACCTAAGGCAGAAGAAATACAGTAAAAATAAAAAAAAGATTCTTCTTTGGCTAACAAACCTCGTTTGAGGTCCTCGTTCCATGATCAGATTGGAGTTTAGGAGTTGATATTCACGGAGGGAAGAGCAGAATAGAGGAGAGATGTGTTTCCTTTTTCAAAATTATTGCACATGCCAGGCTAACATGAAAAAAAAACATACCAAGAAATCACTCTTTTTCTTGATGGAATTTGTGGCATTTACATGTTAACTTAGCATTCAAGTTAATTTCTAAAACTAAAATTCAAAAATTCCAAAGGCATTGAAGTTGATCTTTTTTTTTGTCTGCTTGAATGAAAACTACTATGCACAATAGGTACTTAGTTTGAATAATGAAGAATATTAAAAAATTCAAATAAATAAAATTTAACTATAATTTATTTGTAGTTCTAAAATTTTTTTACATCAAATTTTTTCTCATGGCTATAAATTGTTACTTGCTATTTTTTTACCGAAACAGGAAAAAAAATAATCCTTACCTTATGTTTATCTAGATGTGGTATTTCCATTTTAAATCCAACTAATGCATCATGAAGAGAAATTGTTACATTGGTAAAGAGATCATTGCCCCTCCTCTGGAATCTCTTGTGTCTAAGAACATAAAAACATCATAGATTTATAAGGGGATACCAGTTAATGGTTAAACTTTGTACAGTATTAAACAAAGTCCTACCTGAGTTCTATGATTTTGAACTTGAGATCACCAGGCTCTCCATCAATATGTGGTTCACCTGTGAATGACGTTCATAAGATACTAAGAACTGATGTAGAAACTTGTAAACCTACTTTTTAACCATTTGTATGAATACATTGAGTGTTCGTTTAATTTGTCCCGTTTGCTAGGAGGTGAGTGATTATGTTAATACTATACACAAAAAACGTAGTTGGGTTCGAAGGTCATATCATCGAAGCTAAGACCGAAAAGGATTTTGGGTACTCCGAATTGTGTATCATATTTGCATATAGACATGTAAAAATGCACAGTAGAGCAAAGTCGGTTGACCTAGATCAACAACATGCCAAAACCATGATACATAAAATGTGCACAGGAAGGAAAATATTGCAATACGCATGAAATTAGCTTAATTGTTTGTCTTCCCATGCTCCCCTTTGGTCTTAGCTTTGATGATATAACCTTTTTTTGAACCTGACAATGTTTTTTCAATTAGGTGTATACCAATTATTAGTACCATTACCAAAATGATGGCTGGTCAGTTACCAGTCATGATGAAGGGCAAAATGAGTTTTAACTCTGTTACATCTCATTAATGGCTCATTAATACTGTCTAAGATGACTGGCAAGGCAAAGATTTGACCCAACAAGTCCCAGTTCTGGCTGAGCTTTGTCATAAAGCATAGATCTTTGAGTTAGCCCAGGGGTTTTCAGGGGTTCAATTTGTGAGTAAGCTGTTCCCTGATTTAGATCATACTCAGGGGTTGTTTCAGGGTTCAATTTACCAGCCAAATTTAGCAAACTTTTCTGGAAATAATTTTCATGAAGTACTTTTTCAAACAGCATTGATAGTTTCTGGCAAAAGGGCCTCATTTTCTCTATCAGAAAAAAAGCAGAATTATGAAAGTTTTGTATTTTGTTTTTTCCATAGTGTGAGTAAAAGAGTTGCACGAGTAATAGTATTGCCCCAACATGCCTTGTTTTCAAATCTGAGCATAGTGATGAAATTTTTTGGAAGATCTCATGTATCTTACCCTCAGAAACAAAGGGATATTCTTGTTCATTTTTCATTCCTGGTTCTACTTCAACCTCTAATAGCTTCTCCGTGCTAACATACGTAACTGCTGGGCATTCATCACAGACCTCTTCTGGTGACATCTGAAAGCGTCCTGGACCTAACTGAGTTGTCCTCATTTCTTGACGGCAATTACACCTTCTTGTACCAGGAACTGTCTTGGTTACTGGCTTACATCTCAATACCTTAAAGGAAATAACAAACATGTTYTGATTTATTTTGAAAAAGACAGGTTGTTAGAAAATTGGTTGTTATGCTAAGCAATGTTCTCATGTTCGTTTTGGTGTACTTTGAGGTTTCTTCTTTCCTCAAAGATATACCGGCATTAAATTTTCTGAGCTGCTCGAATTGCTGGGTTTCAATTAGCTGATAAAAGTCTTTGAATCTCATTGTCTGCACCAAATGGTGGTCAAAAACTTATCACCATGAGTCGTCAACCAGAAAGAATTCTATTGAAAACTTGTTATTCAGCTGATGAACATTCCACACGAGACAGGAAATGACTTTAAGTTAAACCCAGCAATTGCATGTGATTATACTGGAAGGGTGCTCACTTGTCTTTAAAGACAAAGAGGGAGTTGATTCGGTGCATGCTCCAAAGGAGTTAGAGACCTGAATGTAACTACATCAATCCCTACCTCTATGAAGTTGCCATTATATAGCTCTTCTAGAGTAACCTCCAGATCAACTATCAATGTTGAACCATGTGGGATCTCCTTTCGATGTGAGTGTTCTGCACCTTCAAAATGAAAGCCAAAACCACCAAAGAAGCTGCAACAAAACAATACCCAAAAAGAAATTACTGTAGAAAATCCATGTATTACCATGAGCTAGGAAACTACATAGTCATACCCAAAGTCATACCAACTATGTAGTGTTTAAAAATTCTGCTAATGATGTGTTTTTTAAAATTTTGTTAATTCAATTATCTATTGTCCAAAGGAATTCTCAACCTTAGTTAACAAATGCCTAACAAAAGCGTGTATTCTTCATTTGCAATAGACGTCATAGCTGCCATGTTGGAAGAATTTGACAAAAGATTTTTCAATTAATTCTTTTGTTATATCTTCCAACATGGCAGACATCCCTTTTGTTATTGTGCTCTCTTGGGATTGATTGCAAACCAAGGATTTACTGAGCAATACTATAAAAGTAATCACTTTAAGTTGGATAATTAGTTGGATAATCAGAGAGCAGATAATAAACAAAATGTTAGCCTTTACTTGACATTATCTTACCTAGAGAAAGGATCTTCCCCATGACCCATACCAGACTGTGATAATCCTTCTTCTCCTCGTGAATCATATATTTTTCTTTTCTCTTTATCACTTAATACCTGAAAATAATAATAATATTTAATTATTACCTGAAAATGCGATAAAAAAAGATAAATGGAATAAAAAACCACAATAAAAACCAGTGTCAAGTCTTTCCAGGAATGGTGCTAGGGTTTTTCAATCTTGGTCTTGGGACCCACAATTCTGATCATATGAATATTCTGGTCTGAAGCTTGGTGTTGTGGGAACCAATCAATATTAAAGTGTTCGTCAAGGGAAAAAAATTTATTTTCAAAATCACTTATATGTGAACAGCGTAGTAATATGGTTGAGGTATTTTTGTATGTGGACCTCTCTTTTCAGAGATATAAACATTTGAAATATCAATATGCAAATGAGATGACGTAAATTCAAGAACATGTTCATTTAAGTGTAATTTAAAACAAGTATTTTGAAGAGTATTAACCTAAAAGTGTACAAAAACCATATATTTCAGTTATAAGGATGATTTGCAAATGAAAAAAACAGCAGTACTTTCCACAACAGCATTTTTGTATAATTAATTAGTCTTGAATTTCTCTCTAGTAACCTCTATACATGTAGCAGCTTGTATAGTTTGCTTTTTTCAATATTATCTTTTCGTTAAATTTGTTTTACCAGGTGTAAATAAAAAATAAAAATCAATGGCAGCCAAAAGCTCAATGTCGTCTTATAAGAAAAATTAATCATATTCTGCTACTGGAACTTAAAACCTAAGAAATTATAATTAATATCATATATTATTATTTCGGTTTGTTGCTCTGTTTCGGTTATTTCATTTATGTAGTATTAGTGATTTTTATATCGGAAGTGAAAAACACAATCAGATTAAAATAATTCATTCAGAGAGTAACCAATCAAATCGTAACACTTGTGACGCTAAAACCTTTACACTTTAAATATGTTTTCAATCTGAGAGCAAATATTGCTTTTTGCACATAAATAAAAGAATTTAAGAACGTTACTCAACTTATTTTTGCATCAATAAATGCATTTTTTAAATATAGAAATAATTGAGTTAATTTTGGACGCTTTTTTGTCGACTTCGACACATTGTAGACGCTCACGAAAGAATATATTTTTGTCTCTTTTCGTCATTGTTTTAAATATAAAATACTGCAGGAAAAATGCTTATTCCTATATCTATAAAATGCACTGGAATGATATTATTTAATTTATTTATTAGTGAAAATTTTTATTGATAATTTTGAAGTAACTTTGATAAACTAAACTAGGGATGCGTTTGATAAAACACAGGGTTATAAATCATTCATAAATACTCTATACTATACAGCGAAAATAATAAACAGACGCCAATTTAATTATATCATTCCTACCTCATATGCTGACCCTATATCCTGGAATTTGTCCTGTGCAGAAGGGTCTTCTTTATTTTTATCGGGATGCCATTTCATTGCGAGTTTTCTGTACGCTCTCTTGATTTGATTCGTGCTAGCATCGCGAGGGACGCCTAGAATAGCATAAAAATCCCTCCTGTACGGACAGAAATGTTACAGTTAAAAGGTCTTATCACTAATACGATAGATGAAGAGTCTATAGAAGTCTTACTTACCCTGCTAGGACCTGAAAAGATAGAAATAAAACAAGTATAGTGCAGAGGTACACGTGTAAAGACGCCATTTTCGCCGGTTTGAAATGAACTTTGCTGGACTTTTCTGTCAACGGCGGAGGAGTCTGGGCACTAGTCAACACGATCGATAAGGATYGTGGGTACATACCACAGGTGACCCAAGCATTAGTTTTGCCTTTTGTAGATCATCCATCGGACCACAGGTAGCCCAAGCTTGGTTTCTGTGGTGTCATGTTATAAGGAAATGTATGGGGATTTATCAAAAATATCAATAACATCATTGAAACACGTGAAATTAAAGCCTCGAAATTTCACCCGACCATTGAGAAATATAACTTCTTTCGCTCTGTGTGGTTATTTTTTGAATTTAGCTCGTTTTAAAGATTTTTTTTCCCCACCAGTAAGAAATAATTATATAATAATAATAATTAATAATAATTATTATTATTTCTTCAAGGGCGCCAGGACAGACGGATTGAGTTTAAATATGTGTGATTGTTTCAGTTAATCGTAGATTTCTAATTGAATTGATATATGTTTGTTTCTAAATGGATACTAAATAGTGTTCACTTATCTCTCCATCCAACGGTCTTTCTGGTTCGAATCAGCCGTACGATATGAATATATTTAACACGTCCACCAACGGTCTTTCTGGTTTGAATCAGCTGTACGTACGCTCTGAGTACTTACCGCTGCATTATCCGTGCCAAGCAGCGCCGGCGCCGTTTCGTTAGCGATTACCCACCTTTAATAAGTTAATCAGATTTACCTTCAGTACAGTAAATATTTTACTGTAAACGCCGTAAGCACTCAAGAAGTGTGAGAAGCTCTTGCCTACGGCGCGTCCTTCTCCTTACTCTTATTTTGTTCTTACGTCACTTCCTGCGTGAGCACAAAAATGTCATATACATATGAAACGACCATTGCGAAGTTGAGTTATAAATTTATTTTGATTTCTACATAAATACTTCATAAAATACCAAGATTGCTCTCTTATTTTAATCTAAAACTCAAAGTTCAATGATCTTTTTGAAGAAATTTTCATTTTATTTTTGATGAAGACGTCTGACGTCAAGACAATTGTTTAAATCATAGTTAATAATTAACTATGTTGAAATGGACTCGTAAAACGACCCTCAAAATACCGCATAATCACGGATTAAATCAATAAGCCAGTTCGTTGCCAGTGCGCATGCGATTTTACTCTGGTGAGAAATTCGGAATAAAATCGCATGCGCACTGAAAACGATTCTTAAACTAGGAACTGGCTTATTGGGTAAAAAGGAAAAACTCGTTGAAAGTGGGAAGATGTTTATTTGTTCTCCGATGAACTCGTCCCTCAGAAATAATGATCGAGTCAGGATAAAAGGCTTCAAGTTACCCTAATAATTCTAGTCAAATTCATAATTTTTGTATCTATTTTTTTTCTGGACTGCTAAGGTAATGAAGTTAGTAGCTTTCAATCTACGTAGCCTGCGTAGCAGCTGGTCAGTGGTATCCATTACTGTCCAATATGCGTCGAGTCAGAGATAGACCAGATTGTACGGAATTCACGAACCAGTCTATAGAGCGAACGAGATAAATGCGTCAAACGCTAACCGTCACGGCACGGCACGGCACCGCACGGTACGGCACGGCACGGCACACGTTTACAGGTTTTACGTTTTTAAGTGTTTTTTTTTTTAATCTGTCAACTTTGGCTTCGACCTCAAACGGTTAAAAATAGTTAAGAGCTTTGAAAACAAGAAGGGAGTGACCTCAACACCAGCTACGCAGGCTCAATTTTTGTATTATAAATTAATATATTTCATGGCCTTGGACAAAAACAGACCTCTTTGCCTTGGGCGTAACATTTCCCCATTTTAAACCACGTGTCATTATCTTGAGATTAAGATCCTTGAGTTGTATTATTCACGTGCCTTCTCATGAATAAACGTTAAACAAAGAAATGGTACTCTAGGGAATGATTCATGGTCTGGTATGGAAAAACAACACGCAAGGTCTATTACGATAACAAGTCATTATGATTAAGACATGCTGTTAACTGTTTACTGGAATATAACATCCTCAGTGAATGCACCAGCAAGCCTAAACTCGTCTCCTGCCAGCACGCAGTATATTCGCTGAGGGGATGGTCTTGAAGAACGGGATGGCCGCTGAACTGTTGTTCGTAGTATGTACTCGCGACCTGCAGGACGTGGGAAATCTTGTTGTGCTGGCGATGAAGGGGGTGTCTGTAAAAAAGACAAGCAATCAAATACTGGAAAAAGATGGCCTTAAAAAAGGCCTTTTGCAGCAAACAGTCACGTGCTGATATATTACTTTGATAACGAATCAGTTCAGCCAAAGGTCCGTCCCTTGGGAAAGGCAATGCTGGATGGCAAACAAACTTTAAATTGCTTCGTAACTTGAAATCAAAAGTATCTAATAAGGGAAAAAAAGCATTTTGGAAAAGGTTTTGGATATGATATTAGCAATTTAGAAAAAACGTATTTGAATAAAAGTTTGAAATTTTTTGCCATCCAGTAACAGTCATGTGACTATGTCCTGCAAGTGACTTATTTACCTATAACCTTTTGCAAGTAAACTTTTGACCATGGTTCAATACTATGCTAACGCTACAGGGCCCACTGTCATTGGCTATGTTGTTGTGGTGCATGTACCTATACTACCCTCACGGGGAAAGAATCATAAATCGAACTAAAACTTTAAATTATCTGTTGCACAGGTTTAGATACGGTTTGATGTAGACTATTCGCGTGTTTTATTGTATTGCAAAGCATTCCAAAGATAAATCCATCGATGGTTGGCAACCATGTCTAAGAGAAACAAGAGCACCAAACTTGGCGGTTTTCATAAATAAAGCTTTCATTTAGTACTATTAGCCATCCTGAGGTCGAGTTTGCATGATGCATCGTGGGACTCTTTTCGAGGACACAAAAGACGCCATCTTGAAAACATTTCCCATAAAATAGGCCCACTGACAATGCACGGAAATGCCAATTCCACCCAGCTTTTTCTAATATGCCTAATATCACACCAACATGGCCGCGTGGTTAACGTGGCTGAACGTGCATTCATTCTGCCAGGGTGGTAAAGGGTTATTTCGTGAAACGGTTATCCTTGTTGCTGCCTAGATGCCAGCAGGCATAATGGGGAGTAAGTAAGTGATTTGACCGTTATATTTTCTTTTAAAAAGATCCTGTAATTATTTCGCTAAACAACATGATTTGTCGTTACATTTACCGTTAAACCCCTTCCCCCTGTTCTACGGTGTATATTATTTTCCACTCACTTGTTGTTTGCTTGGCTCTTTTTCCAAAACGGGCTGCTCTGATCTTGCATTCTACGAGACAACCAAGATTTCAACATAAGAATACTACAATTTCAAAAAAGGTTGATGAAGGTTTTGTTGCTTGATGCATGTTTGGTTTTGTTTACCAAGCTTGAAATGCATTATATGCATATTTAAAGGGCCACTT